CTCTTTCCATCCAGAATCACAATATGTTGCATGGGAACTAACCTATATGTTTCCCTAGGGTGCTGTACAATAAGCAGGTATAAAGTATGTCATGAAACAACGTATTTTCTATCTTCAGTCACTGAACAAATATTCCTATATTGTATCCTGCAAAAGTTTTGCAGAAAACTGCCTCTTAGGAATAAATAGGGGGGACTAGGGAATGAGCCAATGTCTTCAGAACCAGTCTGAACATGTCTCCGATTTCTTCGCAGACTAAATCTCACAGGGGGTTTTTTGTTTGTTTGTTGGTGTTTTTGTTGCTTTAGTTGTATGTTTTTGGGGGTTTTTTTTTGGGGGGGGGCAGTGGGGTAGGGGTGTTTTTCATGTTTTTTTAAGGGCATATTAGTTTCAGTAACATATTCTATAGGATTTTATAACTACTGCCTTTCCCTTGCCAGTAGACTTCTGTACAACTAATCCATGGTCCTTTTCTTGATCACTGTCTTAGAGTTAGTTTCTCCCATCTTGGAAGAAAATCCTGCAATTTTGAAGCCAGCTACTCCAACAACTCACTTGTATTCCTAAAATCCAAGTCCCATGCAATGACACAAGCGTTTTACAGTAGTTCAGACCACTGCTGCATAGATGGGCTTGGCAGGGAGGAAAATCTGAGTTGCCAAGTTAGCGCAGCCTACTGCTTAATTCCACAAACGCTGACAATTTAGCAGAGGAGAGAGCACTAGGTAAGAAGCCAGAAGCTGTTCTTAAGAGGCGGGCAATGGGCAGCATAATCAAATGCCTTTTGGAGACTGAAGCTGAAATACAATTAACTGCTAAGAAGTGAAAGTTAGAAAAATATCTGCCAAAGATTTAGGCAAGTTAGACATTATTATAATCCAGGATATAAACTCAGATCAGTTAGCTCCATTTTGATCATATCATAACTTTATGATAAAAGAAGGCAAACTGGTCAAGAATGATGCTCCTCTCAGATTTACATTCCTTAGTTCCTACCTGAAGGTGAAATGACATCTTTTGGTTTTTTGCAACCTAATTTCCATTGGGATGGTCCAAGATAATAGGTTGTAAACTTAATGTTTTCTAAAAGTTTGTAATTTGGAAATTTCAGGTATTAATATTCCTTTCTGTAAATGTGTACTTACATCTATTTTGTGCACTATTCCGTCAGCTGAGCATTAGCCAGGAACATTTCATTGATAAGCCCATACTACTGCCTTTCCCTCAGCTATGGCACTAACTTGGTTCTCTCTCCTTTCCTCAGCTATTGATTATTATAGAATGAATACACACTTTGTATATTTGGACCTCCATGCTCTCTCAAGTTAACTTAAAATTGTCCAATGATTTCAGAAGGTGGAGAAAGGGAGGAAAGTAAGAGAGTGGCAGACAGAAGCCAAGATGGAGGGCAAGAGGGTAAGTCTCATATTTTCAGAAGACCAAGCTCAAAACAATCACCATTGTCTTGGCTTTTTAGCTTCTCACCTCAACTACTCACAAGAGACTGTATTATTAACCCCTGTCCAAATTCCAGTCTCAGTAATTAAACTCATATTATTCCCCTCAGATTATTAAGTGGAAACTGTCATTAATGTTAACGGAAGGGATCTTTAATAGCTGATAACACAAGCACAGGCCATTTTCAATTCCCTCTGCAACTCCAGTTGCACGTTATTCTCCATTTCACCTTTGAACATTACAAGCAGTTATCATTACGTGTCTGATTTACTGTCACACAAAAGGACACAGTTCAGGGGAGAGAGAAATTAATGCTCTGCAATCCACCCTGTATGCCAGTTGCTGAAATGCACAACTGTATCATTGTCATTAATAGGAAAATCACAGAAGTTGAAATGAAGCAAGCACCATCATGCAAGATTTCCTTGAGAAAGGGGAAAAGTTCAACATGTAAGCTGCAACCCATTAAAAAAAAACAAATCTCTATCACCTAACAGAACTTCTTTGAGCAGGAGAGATTTCTGAAGGCTAACAGACAGAAGGGAACAGTGAGGAGGGTCTCTGAATGATCTGTCTGCAAAAATGATGCTGCTTGGCACCGGAAGAAAGGCACACACAGAATTGGGAAGAATCCTCATTGCTAACATCTGGACTCTTGGAAATTAAAAAAAAACGTGATTGGACTGTCACCTGAGTTCCTTATAACGTTTAGCAAGTACTTCAGGTTTTAAATTTCCAAGGCTCCATATATACGAGTTAATTATCACACTGTAGTGGGGAAATAAAGGAAATTGATGACCTGTAATACTCTGTCTTCAGCATTTTTTTTTAAGACAGCAGAATAGCTCATGAGTGTTGAATGCCTTCATTAACAGCCTAGACACAGTGTTAATCGGAGGGAATAACATGCACGTTCATCAGGTTTGAAGATGACATTGAAATGAGGCAAGTGGTTGATGTGATGAAGGGTTGAGCCAACATTAACAAAGAGCTCAAGAAACAGGCTGCCAGAAACCTCTGAAAGTTTAACAAAGGCAAACATGAAATTCTGCACTTGGGAAGGGACAACTTTGTGTAATAGTACCAGCAAAGGCTGGAAACACACACCCTGTGGCCCACCCTCCTCCACATCGCAGGTACTCTCCTCTGGATTCACTTGGAATTGGCACTGGAACAGGTTGCCCAGAGAAGCTGCGGATGCCCCATCCCTGGAGGTATCCAAGACCAGGCTGGATGGGGCCCTGGGCAGCCTGCTCCAGGGGTTGGCAACCCTGCCCACAGCAGGGGGGTTGGAACTAGATGATCTTTAAGGTCCTTTTCAACCCAGGTTATTCTATGATTCACTCCCATCTGTCAATATCTTTCTTGTAGTTTAGTGCCCGAAACTCGACACACAATTCCAGATGCAATCTCACAAGTGCCGAACAGAGGAAAATAATCACTTTCCTCAATCTTCCAGTTATTCTTTCCTACAGCAGCCCTGATTTGCCTTTATTGCTACAAGGGCACACCACTGACTCACATTCAGCTTTTCCATTTGGACTCCAGGATCCTCTTCTGCAAGAAGGAGCTTAGTGTCCATTTTACTAAATCATGTTCTTCTCCATCACACAAAAATCATTAAAAAAATGACAAAGTTGAACATCAACGAGAGTGATAGAGGAAGTTTAAGCTATTTTCTTGTAGGGAACATTGTATATTTAAAGTTGGTAATGAAAAGGATAAAAAGCCCTCCAAGTTTGCACGGAATAACTTTTCTCCCTTTTTCATTCAAAGAAGATCTTACAGTCTACATTTACAAGACCAACACTTTCATAACACTATTGTAAACCAAATTTCAGGAGTTCTTTACTTGACAATTAAGCCCTTAATCAACAAACCACTGGCCAAAATCCAGGTTTACAGTACTCTGAAGGTTAGCCAGGGGGTAAAAGGAATGAGAGAAGATAGGGACATTTTACTTGAGATAAATTATTTTTGGCTGCTGTGATGTTTTTCCTAGACAGGATGCTGAAGTTCAGGAAGCCCAAGTTAGCGTTATCCAATCACCAATAGCCTGAAAATATTACTGGAGTCATTTGTGGCACAGTACAAGGAAAAGATAAGACTTTAATAATGTTTCTATCCTACTTCCTTAATTTGGAAACTAGCATGATGAAAGAGACGCATTTTACTTTTGGAGCAGATGAGAAGTGAAAGAGCACTGATACTACCAGCAGCATAAAAAGTACAGAGGAATTTGCTCTGAGAGACAATAAAGAGGAGATATTTAGGGAACGGAGGCAGTTTTGCCATGTTGTTAAATAGTTTTGCACCTGATTGCCAGGCAGAAAGGCAGGGCATATTACATCGAGTAAAGTGGGCCAATTATGCTGTTACAGTGCTTGTGGGACTCAAGCTGACTTCTTTCCATGTCATTGTGCAGTTTTAAGTTGTCCTGTTGCAGCTCAGGTCAGTGCCAGCTTAGGGTTTTGTCCGAGACAAAGCAGATGTGCTCAAAGCAGCGCTTACATCTAAACCCCAAGAAACCCTGAGCAATTCCAAGTGTGATAGGTGCTTTGCTGAGAAATAACCAAAGAATTAGAATCTTATGAACCACCCCTTTCCAATTCAGTCATATTTTTCTTACTTACTATACAAATAGTACAAATAATAGTGTAGATCTGCATTACTGGATAACACTCATAGCGAAAGTAATGCTACCAATGAGTATATTTCTAAACAAGTTTTAAAGTTTATATAGATTTCCAACAGCAGAAACTTTCCCTCCATTTTGTAAACCAAAACCAATTTCTAAACAGGAGCTTTAGCAATAAAATAGAGTGAAATGAAGACAGGGAATGGTTTGTATTCCAAGACTCCATAGTCAGTATGGGTTCCACCCCATTATCTGTATCACTGGACTGGAACAGAAGCTAGTTTTTTAAGAAGTGCAGAAATATTGTACAATTTATTGTTTCCCAGGTTTGAGCAGTGAGGAAAGCAAGAATTGCAGAGGCTCTCTCTGCCTGCACTCTGCAGTGCTATGGGCAGAGCTCTAGCACACTCCTTCCCAAAGCCATTCTTCACAGGCATAACCTAACTTTCAGCCAGTAATTCTTTTGTAACCACAATTTCTTGGAGGAACAGCTTTCCAAAAGTTAAATTTATAATCAAATCAGTGAGGGAGGTAGATGAAGAGATGAGAGGTGCCAGTCAGTTACACGGGATTAACAACCACAATGGAATATAAATACATACAAGCCTGCAGTTTCACGCAGTGCCAGATATTACAACTGACTGGGAAACACCTATAGTAAGGAGAATAAATAAAGATAAAGACAACCTACCTTCTTTAAAGAGTAACATCATGTTCGTGTTTTTGTTAGTAACTATGTTATTCAGTAAGGCGATTACAGTTTGCATTGTGTTCCCAAGTATACTGTCTTGGTGCTCCTGTGAAAACAACAGAAAAAACCCAAAATAAAAATAATTTTGTTTTCTTTTTGCAAGGTTGACTATTCAACATATGCCTGAATGTGTTTCAAATCTCCCTAGAAGTTTCACAAAGTATTTTGCCCAATTTTTCAGCCTCAAAGCCAAACAGAAACATACCCAAAGTGAAAATAACATTAAGAAAAAAAATGTCACATTTCATATATTGTAGACCTTTCACATGCATCTAGGTGACTTCCATGCTTCTCTTTCCCATCAAATCTCTTAATACACACATCTTAACACACTGAGGACAAGCCACACTATTTGAATCCCAACCCGGAAATATCATATAACTTGTTGCAAGAAATTCTCAACTGAAACACTCCTGATTTTTATTTCTTGACTAGTCTGACAACTTTCAGGATACGCCTTCAGAAAGACCCCTGTTACAGTGGTATAAAGGGTCACGCTATGTGAAGAAAAAACATTTTCCTTAAATCATTTAACTACTGAAGGAAAGGTTTGCACAGGCAGAGGCTCAGATGGTTGCTTTCAGAGCATTAATTTCTGCTTCTGCACTCAAAGATTAAAAATTAAATGCTATTTCCTGTAAATATGATTAAATATACATGATAACTTATAACACATTAGCAGATAAAGAAATACATAAACATACCCAGCCTTCTATATTAAACCTCAGGCTGTATGAATTTTGTATTTGTACCAGAGCATTTTAAACTGGATCACAAGGAGAAGAGACAAGGAACAGTGGATCGCAGCCTTTGGAAGGACTGTAGTTTCCTACCAAACCCTAAAAAACCCTATGTCCAAGAGCCTCAAAGTTCTATTTACTTTACACAGCACTTTGAGATGTCACTTATGATTTCTGTAAAGAGTACAATAAATACCTGTTCCTCTGAAGGTTTAAAATACAGATCAATTCATTTAAAAGCAATGTTGGAAAGGATAAACACTACATTCTTCAAAAGTTAAGGTAACCAATACAGAAAAGAGATACCATAAAGGCATGCTACTAAAAATAAATTTGAAGTTGTTTCCTACAGATAGCTGAAGGCTAAGAAAAATATTTTTTTCAAAAGATCAACGAGTTTATCTTGTAGTCTGTCATCACAATATCTTCCTAAAGAACATTTAGAAAACAATACATTAAATAGTAAGAATGACTATTTGTGTTATTGAAGATGATACATACACTGAGAATATAAAATCAATACAAGCAAAACAAATTCTGCAAGGGCCAAAATGACTGAAATATTTTCTTTGCAAGTACAGTATTTCCATTACTGTGCTATATATTTGAAGCAAACATTTTCTAGTAAAATTCCCTTTCAAGATAGCAAACTTTTACATTCATCAGGTTAGTAACACTCAAATTAAGCCATCTTTGCTTTTAACAGAGATGAGTTATACTGTACAACCCTCTACTGAATGACTCCCACTGATGCTTTTACTTATAACAAAGCGTAGGTAACAAAACTTCTTTTACTCTAAGCACATATAAACTAGAATTCAAGATGCAATGTAGATACCTTGAGGAAGGAAAACAATCTTACCAGTGTCATACTCAGCTGTTTAGCATATGGATTATAGATTTTTTTTTACAGGATGCTAGGTTTCAAGAAGCTACAGTTATGCTTTACTTCTCTAAGTCATCACTGATTGCTATTAGACTTGATTTCAGAGGTTTATATAAAAATATTTAACTTCTTCATAATCTATCAAGGAGCAAAGCTGATCTAATTTGTGTGCACAGCACCACAGACCGTGGATATTTAATGAACAGTGCACTTGACAGCTTTAATAAAACATAGCTTTTGCCAGCAGAGATAATTAGAACTGAAGCAGCAAAATTCTAGTGTTTGGCAACACAGATGAAACAACTTCATTAAAATGTACAGCTTCAGCGAATGAAAGACAGGGAAGCACTGGACCCTGAAGAATCAGCCTTCTCAAAACTAATTGCTTCAGTGCTTAAAAAGGACAGCTATGAAATACCAAGGGCATAACAAGGAAATACTAGTATAAAAAACAAGGTACCACAGAAGATAAATCAGGCTTTTCAAATAGGACCGCACAGTATTTAGGCCATTAAACTTTTCATTCTAATTTTGAAGGGTCGCACATTAGCAAAAGAAATCAGTTGAAGTATTTTTTTTAAAGCCAGTTAGGTGCAAGGGTGTGAATTAGCAAAGCGGGAGTATGAATCCTGGCAAGATACTATGGCTAAAACTGCCATTTCTCTGCCTTTAAGCGGATTAGAACTTGGAGCAGCATAGGCAAGCTACAGTACTTCAATTACATTTTAAACAACAAAAGAGATGGCAATAACAGTTTGGGAGACTTCATGTACATGCCTCCTACTTGTGTACCTCAGAATCCAGAAGAAAATGCATCAAACACTATGTTTACAGATATGCTGGAATTAAATGTAAGGACCAATATACACCACAGTACTACTGCTCATTTAACAGAATCAGAGTGATTAAGAAAGAGAGCCCCTTTATAGTTAGTTTAAGTTTACAGATGACCAATGAATGCAAGCTTGGTGTATAGCAAACAGCTCCGGTACAGCACACAGTGAAATTTTACCCTGAACACAAAAAGCCCTTCCCAGCAAAACCTACATCCAAACTGGAACATCATAATGAAACACTGCAATAAACTAAATATCTCCTCCCTCAAAAAACACACTCAAGTCCTGAAAACTACAGAGCCATGACTACTTCCCATCAGCAAAGTTCTGCTGCTCTGCCCGAGTTGTCTACCAACAAAAACTAGTTACATTCTCATACTCATAGCCTGAAAGGAGCTGGATACTTTTAGATCAAAGTAGCATTTTGATGCTAAGAGAGAGGCATAAAATATCATCAAGAAGTCCACTTATTATCACTAAAGGCCAGACAGAAATTTTAGCCCATACATTATGTCACACAATGTGTCACTGAACTGTAAAAGGAAAAAATAAAGAAAAATTTAAAAACCCACCAAAACAAAAACAACAACAAAAAAACCCACACAAATAATTGGAACACTGGATTAAAATAGCATACAAACATGTTTTATATGACCTGATTAAAACATTAACTCTGTTAGAACACGGGGCCCTTGTAATAACTAAAGTAGTTAATTTTTTAATTACTCATAATAAGCCATTTTACATTTATTAAGGTAACTATATTAATATTTTACTTAATTTCATTCAACCTATCCTCCCTGAATAGTTATTCATAGCGAAAAATGTGTACAATAGATGTGAGAGGGAATAAAAGGATGAAAGAGGAAAACAGCTAAAATATATCTCAAAAGCAGATATATATATATCTCAAAAACAGAAATTGTACAAAAGCCAGGGAGAGAAGAGTAGGGTGTCATTAGCCATTTTCATACCCTAATGGAACATGCAAGTTTCAGTCTGGTACTAAGAGTGGGGCCATGGCAAAGAGCCCAAATGAGGTCTGAGAAAGGATAATGTACCTTTAATGATTGAAATAGCAAGAAAATTAAATCTAATCATGTTTCATTAAGCATACTCTAGCTCCCATTTTTACTAAATTATTTTATTATGATTTCCCAACTGTCTGTTGAAATAACCTTTTGCAGCAATTTAATTCCCCATCATAAACAAGTCTCATTTCTCACAATGAAGTCCCCTGGGATTAGGGAGAGGAATGGATAACCTAAACCTTGCCAATCCGGCAGCCGCTAAGGTAACCACTCAGAGAGACAAAGATTTTTGTTTTCCTATTTGTGGCCAAGATCATTAAGATATAATTAGAAATGTATTCATGAGAAACAGAGTGTCTGTTATGAAGACAGCATTCACCCAACAAGCATCTCCTATACCAGCCTTTAATAAGAAGGGCAGCAGGCATAATCCCCACTTCACTCTGGAGATTTCTGCATTAAATGGATCGCATTAGCCATCCCTCTCTCTCCCCCTTTATAATGGAATCTTACTCAGGCACCCAGGGTTTTCTACAGCTCCATTGTTCCCATCCAAACTGCTGGTCTCTTCTTTCAGCAATATGCTCCTGCAGTGCCATCCAGATGTGAGCCCTACAGATCACTACGTGCAATGAATTCAAATCCTGCTCCAGAACTTGCTACAGCGCAAGTGAATGTGGAACTTCACAATCTACAGAAACAAATGACTGTAAACAGAATAATCTTTGACTCTCTGCTACAGTGAAAGGAGCTATTGACCCCCCCCCAGGCATCCTTTCTGCTTTAGTCAAATGAATAAAGTCTGCACCAAGCAGAAAGGATGCACCAAGCAGAAAGGAGACTTCACTCAAATAAGTAAAGTAACTGAAAGAACTGTTTTGTCCTTGTACATGATCTGATTTATTGCCAAACTCCATATCAAATCACATGACATAGCAGCGGAAAATTAAAATCAACGTCACTCACCAAATAGTGCTTAAGTATCTGCCACAGGGATCAATTTATGGGCGTCACTTAAACTACAGAGGGAACACTGTCAGCCACCACATTTAGTATCACGATATTTGAACAGGTTATTATGTTATTTGGTAGGCAGGAGTTTGAAAGGAATCAATTATATGAAAACAAAAACAGTTCTAAGGCACAATTTTGCTTCCCATACCCATGTGAATAGTAAAGAACTACTTGCTCAAAGCAAGCAAGGGCCAGAAACTGAACCTTGTAATACAAGCAGGTGACTTGAAAGACAAATCTAAGAGGAAAAAAAAAAGAGACTACCGAAATCTCAGCTGTCTTTGGCACTATGCCACTGTTATAATTGTAATTACAAAGTTACAGTGGGTGAACCAAGATTGGATCATGGTAGGCTTAATCTTTTTGCATATATTTGACCATAAATCTATTTTAGCACAGCAATGATTTTTAAGCTTCCCAATAAAAACATTTTATAAAACAAAATATATTTAGAAACTAAGCATACAAGACAATGTTTTTAAAAACAGAAAGCTGAAAGCAGAATATTAAGATTTAAACTGTTTTGCTTTGTGGAAGTC